AGACTGAGGGAACTTAATTTATAACACCTTGTGTACACACAAACCAGTTGTTAAGAACTGGAAAGGTATATAAGGGCCACAGTGACGGACAGTAAGAACTAGCTCATGCTGAAAAGGTTTGAACAGTGTAGAGCATGTGCATGACACTTGGAGCTTGTAGTGCAGCACTAAATTCTCCAGTGCGTTAACCCTTTCTATGCAAACCAAAGAAACAGGAAAAATAATAGTGGTGCTTAAAGTGACATTAAAGGATAAAAAAAAAATAGGATTTTGGTACTCACCGTAAAATCCTTTTCTCTCCGTTCATTGAAGGACACAGGGAACAGATTGTAGATCATGTACTGTAGGGTAATATCGCCACCTGCAGGAGAAGGACGCTAGGATAGCAACGGGGATAAGCAAGAGAGGGCCGCCAATTCCGAAACCCTGCGGACCGAGGTGACCGCCACCAAAAAGGCCACCTTTTGAGACAGAGTCAGAATTGGAATTTCACGCAGGGGCTCAAAGGGAGATCCCTGCAACACTGAGAGCACCAAATTCAAATCCCATGGCGGCAATGGGGAGCGAACAGGAGGAACGATACGTGTAACCCCCTGCACAAAAGTGCGAATGAAAGCGTTGGAGGCTATCGGCCACTGAAAAAGGACGGTCAAAGCCGAGACCTGGCCCTTGATCGTACTCAAGGCCAAACCTTGATCCACACCACGCTGCAAAAAAGCGAGGATCCTGGAAACGGAAAACAAACGAGGCGGAAATCCAACCGACTCACACCAGGCAAAATAAGCCTTCCATGTTCGATGGTAATTCCTTCGGGACACGGGCTTGCGAGCCCGCAACATCGTAGAGATAACCACATCCGAGAGACCACGATCCCTCAACACCTGGCTCTCAACAGACACGCCATCAAAGCCAACGACTGTAAAGACGGATGGAACACCGGACCCTGAGATAGAAGATCCGGACGAAGCGGCAGGCGCCAGGGGACGTCCACCACCAACCGAACCACATCTGCGTACCACGCCCTCCTCGGCCAATCCATAGCCACGAGGATGACCGGGACGCCTTCTACCGCGATCCTTTGAAGGAGACGCGGTAACAAATACAGTGGAGGGAATGCGTAAATCAGACCATAGCAATCCCACGGCGCCACCAGTGCGTCCACCGCATCTGCCCAAGGATCCTGGGTCCTGGCCACGAAGCAATCGACCCGCCGATTGAGGCGAGACGCCAGGAGATCCACCTCCGGGAACCCCCAGCGAAGGCAAAGCTGATGAAACACCTCCGGATGTAGCATCCATTCCCCCCGGATCCACCGACTGGCGACTGGAATAGTCGGCCTGCCAATTGTCCACGCCCGGAATGTACACGGCAGAGAGAGCCGGAACATGCTCCTCCGCCCAAAATAGAATTCTTTCCACTTCCCGAGCCGCGGCCACACTTCTTGTGCCGCCCTGATGGTTGACGTAAGCCGCGGCATTGTCCGACTGAACCCGGACCGATTCTTTCCACTCCCCGAGCCGCGGCCACACTTCTTGTGCCGCCCTGATGGTTGACGTAAGCCGCGGCATTGTCCGACTGAACCCGGACCGGCCGCCCCTGAAGACGGCCCCTCCAATGAGGAAGGGAGAGGCGAATCGCCCGAAGTTCCAGCACGTTGATCGAGAGTCGAGACTCCTCCAACGACCAACGGCCCTGAGTCGTCCAAACGTCCAGGACGCCCCCCAAAGCCCAACGGGCTGGCATCCGTGGTGACCACCGTCCAGTGAATGGGAAGGAAGGACTTGCCCAACACCAGAGACGGGGACTGAAGCCACCAGACCAGGGAGGCCCTCGCCTCCCGAACCGCCTGGTCCAGCGACGAAGGGGACTTGTCCCATAGCGATAGAAGACGTCCCCGCACCCTGGAATCCCGGGATGGGGGCAGGCCTTAATGCCGCGGGGGGCTTACCCCGGGGCTTGGCGTTCCTGGGCTGCCAGGGTCGCTTGGCGGCCTGGGAAGGGGGCGGCTTGCTGAACTTCCTGCCCTTCTCAGAGGGCGGAGGTGGACGAAAAAACCGCTTGTGAGCGGAAAAGGAAGGACCAGGCCTCCGCCGCTGGTCCCTAGGCTTTTTCGACTGAGGCAGGAAGGTACTCTTACCGCCCGTCAGATCCTTAATGATCTCATCCAAGGTAGTACCGAACAGCTCCGTCAGGGCCTTCTTGCAAGCCTGGTCGGCCGACCAGCATTTGAGCCAGAGGAGTCTAAGAGTAACCGCTGACACAGACAGCTTGGAAACCAAAGGTGCTGCATCCAAGGCCGAATTACACAGGTATTGCGGACCCTGCACCAACTGCTCCGCCAGGTCGACATAAGCAGGAGACACGTTTACTTCCGCAAGACCCTGGTGCAGCATCTTCGCCCACTCGGTCAAAGTCTGGGAGACCAGGGCTGAAGCCAACACAGGGCGCAACAGAGCCCCGGAAACCGAGTACATCGTACGCGCCACAGCCTCCGCCTTCCTATCCGTGGGATCCCGAAAGGAAGGCGAATCCTCCACCGGGATAACTGTAGCCTTATTCAGGCGGGAAACCGGCAGATCCACCGCGGGAGGGGTGGACCACTTAGACAGGAAGGACTCCTCAAAAGGATAACAAACCGAGAAACGCTTGGGAACGGAAAACGACTTGCTCGGGCGCTTCCACTCCTTGTAGACAAAGTCATCAAAAAAAGGAACATAAGGAAAGCGGGAGCGCCGAAGAGCTTGGAGTCTCCTCAATCTTAAGCGTTTCCCGCACAGCGCGAACCAGGGCCGCAACCAAGTCGCGCTCCTGGGCCATAAGGCAGGCCCCCGACTCGTCGTCACTACCAGATTCCGCCTGGGAGGAGTCCCCCTGGTCGGGATGCGCAGTCGCAGCAGACATTTCCCCCTCTTCCTCCGAATCCCCAGAAAGGCCCGGGGAGGGAGCCGGGAAGGCGCGCTTCATTGGAGGGCGCTGCGTCAGCGCGCGCTCAATACGGGACACAAAACTGTCCATAGTGGAGAAAAAAACCTCCAATGACAACCCTGCGCCAGCGGACCCCCCACCCAAAGAACCCGCAGGCATCAAGGGAGACTGGGAAAGGGGCGCAGAAGCACAGGCTGCGCAAAGAGGCGACGTGAGAGAGGTCCCTGAAGAGAGGCCGCAGCCCTCACAGGGCACTGCGGCCAGTGCGTCCCCACTGTCCATGCCCCGGCAATACAGAGCCACATGTAACGAGGGAGTCCCCAGCAGGCACCCAACGCAGTTGTCCCCAGCAACTGCCCTCCCGCAGGCAGACGACCCCCCTACAGCACCTGACTCCCGGTGTCCCAGTGCGTCCTCACCCGACCGCGTCCCGGCAAGAAAGACCGATTCGGCCGGGTGACGCGCTATTACAGGGACCGGGAAGCGGCGCACCGGAAGTGATGTCAGGAAGAGGGCGCACGCGCCCACACTAAACATGGCGGCCGCGGCCTCCGGAGAAGGCCGCAAACGAAGCCGGGGGCTCGATTAGCGGCCCCGGCGAACACACGCGGGCGGAACAGAGCGGCCAGCAAGGCCACCCCGCCGGGGCGGGGCCACCGCGGCCGACCCACCGTAGCGGGTCTGCATGCGTCCGATGGTCGTCCAGGGGAGACTCCAAGGATCCGAGACATACAGCCTGTCGCCCGGACAACACTTGCTAGAAGATTCCTCTTAAAAGATCAGGACGAAGCAGGTAAGAATACCAGAGAAAAAATTCTTAGCTCCTTACTCCTGACGCTAGGCAAAAAACTGGAGACTTGTCAGCAGGTGGGGGGTTTGGCCACCGGCAGGGGCGATATTACCCTACAGTACATGATCTCCGATCTGTTCCCTGTGTCCTTCAATGAACGGGAGAGAAAATGTCCCTCCCCCCCAATGTAAATATAAGCACTTACCTTAAATGATGTCTCTTAATCCGATCTTCTTTTCTGTCGTTTTCAGCCTTCTCTCCAGGGCCGCTGCGGGTCTCTGATCCAGCGCCGACTCCTCCGGGCTTGCTGTCCTACGGTGTCTGCATGCGGGTGCACGCTGTCCATAGACTTACCTTGTGTATATCCTCGTCTCCCGGCCGAAAATCTGAAGTGTGCATGTGCCCGCCCCAAGATCCTTTGCGGCCACCCGAGATTTTCGAACGGGAGCATGCGGGGAAGACACAAATATTAACCCTTTTTAAAGCGTTTTTTAAAAAAAAAACGTTTTTGCATATATCTACTGCTTATTAGCTTTAATAACCCTTTAACTGTGGGGAAAAATGGTAGTCTGCTATGCTCATGTGTATAGGAGAGTCCTCAGACACATGCCATGGTCCTGGAGCTGCTCTGTGTACACAGTACACAAGGGACAGGGAAATACCACATGCAGACTTCAATGCTTAGGTCACGTCCCATCTTCACCCCATCCATGGGCATACCTACAAGTGAGTCTTCAGAGACTTGGTCACAAGCTGTGCCATGGCTCTGGACATGTAAAACGCTCTTTGGCTGGTAAACCACAAATCCAGGGAGCGCCAAAAGTGAAACCCAGTGCCAGAGGGTCACATTAAAAAGGCATGCCACACAATCTTTGTCCGTGCACAGTCGAGTAAGTTCTTCAATGCAGTGCCAAGGATCAGGTGATCCCGATACCCGCATGTGGAGCTACGCTCAGCAGTGTAACGATAAAGTCTTGATTAAAGGGGAAAAAAGGGGGGGATGGGGGGGATCTTGAGCAAAGTAAAAAAATAGGTAAAACTTTTCTCGAAAGAGAAAAGACATCCATCTTCTTAGGACACTAGCAAAATACTAAGGCATGATGGGAATGGGAGGCTGACTGCTAAACAGTTTGTTTGCCAGTGTCCAATTCCTCCCCTAGGCAGTAGAATGAAGAAATCAATATTTTTTAGAGCCACATTCAACTTGGTGGTATGTTAATTAGAACTTCCAAATTATATACATTATGTGAACAAATTAATTAAAGCGAAGGGTTTAGAGGCCTACCTTGTGCTTGGGGCAGCGTACAGAGAAATTCTCTTCACTCAGTAAACATTCTGCAAGAAAAAAAAATGTTTTAATTGAATGCAACTAAGTTAGAGCTAAATTATCAACAAGTAATGCTTGGTTCTATAGATCAAGTAAAATTACTTTTTTTTCCCCTTTCTTTGTTCATGTTTTCTGTTGCACTGTGCACATGATGTAGATTCTTGTATATAACTTCCCGCATATATGCACGCACACCAGTGGTGTCAGTTTTACAGTAGTGACTACATGGGCACATGCCAGCACACTATAAGTTGGCATGACTGCTTGTAGCCCAAACAGAGCATATAGTAAAAGGGTTACAGCGCTTTAGATTCACTTGTTCACTATATTGCATCCTGTGAATGGCTAAAGGAAGAGAGGGTGTATGCAATCTGGCATTAAAACATTTTTTTATATCAAAATACAGAGAGAAGAGTGCGCTATAGTTAGAACACGCCAAACAAAAAATATATATGCCTGGAATCATTTTTTAATGAGTAGGCACCTTCACCCCAAAACAGAAGCTCATGTAAATACATTTTACTGGTAGGATGCCAAGATGCAAATAAAATAAATGTAGGAAATATATAAAAAAAAGAATTAAACATTTTGACATTTAAAGACGACACATATGGTTTAAACTGTATGTGAATCCTAAATCCATTTTTCAGTATGTTTGGCATCAGGCCTGACTGTATACAGATTTCTTAAAGAAGAACTCCAGGACTTTAAAGAATTAACCCTGACAGCGGGGCTACCCCCACACTGCAAGAGTTAAGTGCATGTCTTGGTCTAGGGGCAAAAAGAAACAAGAAATACTCACTTAATCCTCTATACTGTGGCAGTGACCACTCACCTCTCTCCCCCACAGCTCCGGCTGTATGTCCTTCTGTGTCGTCAAGTCTAACAGACTTTCCGGGGGTGGGGGGTTGGGGATGTGGGGACCAGTCTAGCAGTCAGGCATGACCGAGAATCAGGTGAGTATTTCTTTTTTTGCCCTTTGACAAAACAAGCGCTTAATCCTTGCAGTTCGGGGGTAGCCCTACTGCAAGGGTTAATTTTTAACAATCCTGAAGTTCTTTAAGCAAATCGTTTTTTGTGACGGTTACAACATTTTTTACTCGCAGATCCCACCAGTAACAGCACTTCCTAAGCTGCAGGCTGACATCAAACCTCTTGATTCCATGGGCTTAAAGAAAAATCTATGTGTGTATGGCTAGCCTAAATGTCAGCCATCACCAGTAAGTTCTCTTATTGGCAGAATAATTTCCAGGTAAGAAACTTTGTAACAGATAAAACAAATTACTTACGTAATTACTTACTAATTACTACGTGTGTATGTAGGGGGGTTCATACATTTCTTCTGATCCTGCCAGTTTCTGCTCTCTGATGCCTTTTTTAATAGGGCCACCATCAGTTCCAAATGTTACAGGATGGGGGTTACTCTGTGCTTTCACCCAATCCAATGCAAACAATGCCCCATGCTGGAAGATCAACAGCTGCTCTTACCATTGAGCAGCTGAGATAGGGACTTCTAAATTTAACAGCCACTTTTGCTGAACAGCTTGGCCTGTTACAGTTATTAAAGAAATAATGGATATACTGACAGGTAATAAAACTATGTTACGGGGGTCTTCGATACACACTGCTGTGTTTACTGCAAGGGACATTTTCCATTATTTTCCTTTTGCCTATATTTACACTAAGAAAACTGTATACATTGAGACATGATGCAAACATACTGAAAAATAGATGTAGGGATTACCGTATTTTTCCGTGTATAAGACGCTACTTTTTCATTAAAATGTTTACCTAAAAATAGAGGGGCGTCTTATACACGGGGGCAGAGAGGAGAACCACGGTTGCGAAAGTGCCGATACCACCGCAAACTACCGTAGCCTCACGAGTGAAACTTCGGATTGCAGAGACAAGATAAATTTTCCTCCAATCATAAATCTTTTGTACCCGACGTCAGCTGTTGCTGGGGAGAGTGGCTCTGTAATCCGCTCTCCCCAGCAACAGCTGACGTCAGGTACAAAAGATTTATGATTGGAGGAAAACTCTTATCTTGTCTCTGTAATCCGATCATAAATCTTTTGTACCTGACGTCAGCCGGTGCTCGGGAGAGCGTGTAGCCAGTGCCCGGAGCTGTAATGTCGGAGTATAACGTGATTGAGGTAAGTGTGATGCATTATACCATTTAAAATATTGATTTCGGAATTTGGGGTCACCATCATTAACACAGCAGTGTGTTATTCTCCCCCCTTGTAACATAGTTGTATTACCTGTTTATCCTGCCAGTAAGTCTCATTTTTCAACTTCGTGTAACAGAAGTTGTCCAGCAAAAGTGGCAGTTAAAGAGTTGTGACAAGCCATTCAACAGGGCTGCTTAGATCAGTTTTGATTCATATAGTTAAAACCTTAATCCCAAAACAGAAAAAAAAACAACATATTGCTGTAACTAGGGATGTCCCAATACTATTTTTTCAAGACCAAGTACTTTCCCTCAGGTACTTCCCGATACAAATTAACAATACTTTTTCTTAAAAGGGACATGACATTTTTTTATCTAAAACAATACAGATTAATGATTTTAGGGTAGTTTCTTCATAATTCTGAAGAACTGTAACTCAATCCATGAATATACTTGTCCTGATACAAAAAATAATCTTAACCAAACCCCAAAACCATAGTTGACCGTGCTAAGAAACGCTTTTCAATGGTCAGCACGGTCACCTGACTGCACTGACCAACGAGTGCTCACAATGTCTGAGTGAAATTAAAAATCCATAGCAAAGGGCTGCACTGGACGGCAGTATGAGGTACAGATAGTACACCCGTACAGGCAGAGGGGAAGGATCGTTCACCAAAAGTTAAGTATACCAGGGGGAGGGAAAGTTGGCCAGATTTAAGCGGGTAATTCCACTTTCCCAAATCGCTTGGGAAAGTGAACTTACCCTTTAATGCGCATTGTGCATGTTCGAGAGCGCTGCTGCCCCACTACCACAATATTGCACACAGTGGAATGCCTTACGCATGCTTTTATTCACACACAGATGGTGGAGGGGCTGGGTTAGTTTTTATTTTAATTCGTATTTTATTTTTTACCTTTTTAGCACTTTTTTTTCCTTTTTAGCACTTTATCTTTTTCACACGTTTTTTAAATTTGTATTTTATTATTTTGTATTTTTATCACTTTTTTTCCCCACTTAACTTTATTAATATCACACAGGCCCTATGTGACATAATTCAGAGGCAACAGGCTCTCTATGAACCTGACATTCAATACAGAAGACACAGCACAGCAATGTGCTGTATCTTCTGTACAGCTTCATTTATGACAGTTGACACAGGAAGTGCTGTGAATACAGCTCTTCTGCGTAATTGACAACAGACCGTTCTCTGCTCTGGTCCCCGCTCACCATCCTGAGCTGCTTTGCTGTGGTCTAGGGTCCCCCAGAACAGCAGGGAAGCCCGAAAACCACTGAGGGAAGGGGGGCGAACCATAGAGGGGCGGACCTTGGAAGGAGGTGCTGGCGGGGGGGACGGACGAGCAGGCTGCTGAACAAGTGATCCATAGGGGGGGGGGGATCCCTTGTACAAGCAGCCCAAACCTATTTAAAGATTTAAAGCAAGTACTCGTGAAAATGCCCAGCATCGGTACCAATACTAGTATCGGTATATCCCTAGCTTTAACTGCTTAAGGGCCACCAGGGGCTGTACAACATGAATTCAGGAACATTTCCTCAAGTACAGTCTTTCAAAAAATGGCTGTATGTGGCTGTACATGGGTATATGTCGGAATTGCAGAAATACGTGCATGCATATGGACACACAACTCTGAAAGCATACAGGTAAAATCTAGAACCGCATTACCTGTTATAAAGGGACTGCAGATAGATGTTTGTTAAGTAGGCAGTCATAATAAAAATATTTATATGGGTGGAGGCAAAGCATCAAGTTCACTAAAACCTCCACCCATTCTAGCTCACATCTTGCTTTCACTGCCTTACCATACTTGTTTGGTCGCTGGAACAAAGAGAGGCTAAGCAATCTCTCCCAACCATGAGCATACTCCCCATATGAAGTACTGAGTATTTCTCTTAGCTTCTTTTGGAGCAGCAAATAAAATGGACATGGCATCAGATCTTTTTTTTATGTTAAGTACATGCGTAGCAAGTAACGTATAATATAAAATGTAAAAAGGTATTACCTTTCACCGTACTCTTGGAGATACGTTCAACTGCTTTTCTGTCCAAAAGTACGGCCCCATCTTTGCTCAGGCATTACCTAGGATCAGCAGCCTCTTAGCCATTTGCTGGCAGTCATCTCATTTGCAGTACACTGAAATCAATTTGATTCTACTGAACTCAACACAGCAGTTAAATCTCAGAAACAAAGAGATTTAATTGCTAGTGTGGCTATAGTCTTATATTTTGACATGTCAGGAATTTATCCATGTAGACTTGTAAAATTACTAAAATGCCCACTTTAAAGTGGAACTTAAAGTACAAATTGAAAAAGAGTGACCAGTTAGGCTTTTTATTGCAGAAAGGAAATACCGTCTCTTCTGCAATAAAGGACTCTTACCTGCCTCTCTTACTTCTTATTGACAATGTACACTGAGCTGTGTTCAACATAAAACAGAAGTCATCAACTTGCGCAACTAGATAGACTGTTTATGGACTATATATTGATAGTATCAAAAGGAATTCCAGTTGTACTGGTAATTAAATCGAGAGAAGATGTGTGCACCCATCCTGCAGCCTGGCTGGTTGGATAGGGAAACATCCATGTAACAGCACTGTGAAGAAAACATAGAAAACCGGCGCACAGATCTAAGTGCAGTGTAAAGAGACTATTTAATAAGGTTAAAAGTAATGCACTTACAGGATATTAAAAAACATCTCGCCAGTCACGCATCAGATGAAAGTCCCATCTGCACCGTCTCCCCCCGGGTCCCGAACAGGAATAATCCCCGGGCGGTCAGTCAGCGATCACCGGGACGGCCCTATTTATCCCCTCTGTC